CGATATGAAAAGTTTGTTTGGAATAGTAAGAAGAAATAAAGACTAATGAATGGATAAGAGCGCAAAGGGGTCTGTGATGTCACTGCAAGAGCAAAGCAATTGAAACGGCAATGAACTGGATATCTGAATGAAAAGCGGGCATAGCCAGACTAAAGATATATTAAACTAATTTCTAAGAGACTGTAGAGGGCCGTGGGTAGACTTCCAAACGAGAGGAAGAAGAGTTCAAGAAATTTGTTGAGCAAATGTGTATAAGAATTGTAGAAGGCGTGAATAAGCATCGCAATTTTGTCGCAAGCTCTTTCGGAGGCCTTCATCCGGCAGTGTATCACGAAGGGATGGTGATGGTGATGATTTTTAGACTACATTTATGCGGAAGATGTATGACGAACGGACACGTGAATGGTTACAACGCATTGCAACCGTTCAGACTGCCGGTTGTCGTTTTAAAGGCGAGCGTTTTGGATGGATTCACAAAACGCTATGCTTGCTTCCACTAGTTGTAGAACAGAAGGCCGCATCATTGCATGGAAACAATGACATGTTTTCGAGCTATGAAAAGGTTTCGTTACTCATGATAATCCATAACATTAGAGGTAATTTAGTTTAACACTGAAGAAGATGTTTTTCGTACGGGACACTACAACCGTGTAGAAGGAGATAATGATTACACGAATATGATTACCTTATTCGTTATAATAGGAAAGAAAAAAGAAACCGATCCGATAATTGTTAGACGGACCAATCTCGATTGAATCATACATCGATCACAGTGCACTGACGTCATCAAAGAAAAATACTGGCTAAAAAGACGCGTCGTGGATGCATTATTTATCCAGTTCCGTAACAACGTCACCTTTGACAAAGAATACGAAGTCTGCACGAATCATATGAACCTTCTCGTTTCTATTGCCGAGAAACAACCAGCAACACGGATCATGAGCCCGCCTTCTCGTTCTGAACGTATGAACCGCCGCGACAGACAAAAATGACTTTCGAAGGCAGCCAACTTTCCTGCCTTGAAGAAGACCCGAAAGACACGGATCGAAACGTCGGTGCCGGTCAACCATCTGCCTGGCCAAATTGTTTGCGTGCATGTAAATAAACCGTTTATTTGCTGTTTTCAGATTGAAACTGCTTTACTGAGGTAGCAATGGCGCGGGTTTGTAGGCTGCCGGGTACAAACCCAATGCGCGGAGTATATTTCCTCCTAACTGCTAATGTCCTAATGAATTCGAGGAATTCACTCCACGCTGCTTTAGTGCAACCAGCCGAAAAACCTGTAGCAAGTACATGGTCTGCTAATAATATACCAGGGTGTTTTGGCGTGGTCATGCGAAAGCATGCGAGACATCGTTATGATTTCTGAAATAAGTCCTCTGGCGCAGTTCACGTTGACCCACGTGACAGCTGCCTAAAAATCAGCTAAAGGTGTAAACAAAAATTTTAATTTAAAAAAAATTTTATTTATTCATCAATATATCGTTCTTCATCTAGTGACTTGCATATTTTTTCAAGGCTGACTAAATAAAATTGTCGGTAAATTTTGATTTACGGCAACTGTCAATAAGGTAACAATAATTTACCAGGAGGACTATCAAGGCCATCGACAAACATGAACACATAAGCAATTAGGGTAACTTTGCAGGGCAAAATTATTATGCAATGATGTCATTTCACAAAAACGAGTTCTGACGTTGAAGAACAGAAAATCGTGGCTATAGAAATTCTGACTTCACTGATTAGCTGTTTCGATGAGGAATAGCTGCGTCAGCTGAGTAAGTTTGTTGCCAAAATTGTCAAATAAAACTATCATAGAGTTTAGTGAAACAGACAACATAACTATGTTAGCAGCGAACAGTATTAATAATTAGACGGATAATGAAAAGAAAGTAGGATGAAAACGAAGATCATGGTTTCATTCGGTAAGACAACGCAGAATGATCTGAGTGCTACAAACAAGTTTCAAATTTTAAACTACAAATTACAGCTGTTTGCAGTTGCAATTACAGTTGTTTTGTTTAAGAAAAGAAATTTTGCCCCTTGAGATATTATTTATCGGCTTGGACCGACGGGCTTTATTAAAGTAATGTTGACTATTCCTTTAAGAACAACGCCGTTTCTCCACTCCGAAGGCGCGTCGGAAAGCTTATAACGTGTTGTCAGAATTCATAGTCGCTGGCAGAAACGAAGCGATGCAAAAATAAGAGGTGCATGTATGATCGCTACCACATCCCCAATACAAATGGAAGTAAAAGATTTCATCGTGGGAAACGGAGAGAATAAAATGGACGGACTGGGCACTTGGTTCCGCTTATTGATCACCGACGAGC